AGCATAATATGTATCACATTCACATCCCTGCATAGTTCCAGAGTAACCAAAACTAATCAAGGATTTTTGATAGAGGCAGAAAGTAAAGGCGATCATTATCCAAAACACTGCCTCTCACTCTTTATTTTCACAGAAGCCAATCATCTTCCTCTCAGCTCCATAAATCAAGAGACTGTTCAGAGACTAGGCAATTGGTTCAGCAGCAGCACTAAGAAGAGGTAACTGCTGTTTGTCAAATTCAGAACAGCACATGTACTCAAACCACTCCACCTTCTATTGTGGACTAGATACAGCATGTGGATAGCTTTACAACTTATCAGGACTTAAAATGTCCAAACCGACAATAGTTACTACATTAACATTGCATCATGAACCATTTACATTTTACACAAAGCTTTGCAAGAGTCGGACAGATAAAAAGAGAAATGATTTGTATGTTTTCATAGCCTCCTCCCATTCAGACAGGCACCTGCAGCAGCAGCCAGCTCTGGAATAACTGCAGAAGACAGCTAATCATTAGCCAGTTAGCCTCCATTATGGCCTGGGATCCAGGCCTGGTGATAAAGAACCAAAGGACTCAGGGCTCACAGTTTAATGATCCAAAGATCAGTGCAGGATTTACGGGCTCGGGGTTTCCACCACGGCCCCTGGACAAAAGCTTCCTCCCTTCCTTCCTTCATCTACTTCAGCAGAGGGATTTCAGTTCATAAAACCAGGAAACAATGTTGGAAAGTAATGAAATTTCACACCTATCGTGGAAAGAAAAATAAAATGAAGGAGGCATCAATCGCCGAAGTAAGCTTCCAGTTGATTAGATGATAAATAAAGGCAAGGTGCCAAGAACAAACATTTCACACACTAGAAGTTTTACAGTGCCTTCAGCAGCCCTCTTATTTAGTTTTCTTTGAAGAGTTTGACATAATAGCTCATGGTGCACGCAATTTACAGGCGTTTGGTGGAAACTTGATTCAAGTGTTTCAGGCCCAGAGGATCAACTAAGCTACCTGCTGATGTTTGAAACTGTGACTAAACTTCCATCACAGCTTGTAGCAGATGCCATCCATAACTGGCAGACATTTATATGTTGCAAGCACTCTGCAACGGCTGAAATCCTTCACACAGACTCAGACAGTGTATCCTCTTCCTTCATCAGCTCCTACGACTTTTGAGAATTCCACTTCAGTGGTGGGGGGACAAAAGATGCAAGGGTTCATCCAATCATCTCAAATGACCCCCACAAAACACTAAAGCACTGACCAGGTCAAACAATGCATCCCCAGTTCTTTCTTCGTCCATAGATTGTGCACCTGTTCATTACTTTACATCTTAAAGCAAGACCATTGTCCTCAGTGTGTTTTGAAGCAGCCAGCTAATTGAGAAATTTAACCAGCAAGGTGGATCCAGGGACCTTTAAGGACATTTTCTGACTGATCAAGACATGTTTTATTCTGTACCACACGTGAAGCCAAATAAGGCGCATTTTACATTGACTGGAAGGTTCAGTCTGACATTAGATACTTTTAATCAGTTACTGGTTAAAATATAATTTGGTTTGGCTTAGATAACTAACTGGTGAAATAAAATTATATTAAAGGACACTTGACACATCATAGCGTTGCAACTCACAATTATTTTCGGTATCAACTGAACTTTTTCATTGTAGCAGAGCCTTTCCAGTGAGCCTACATGCATACAAGTCAAAAAAAATCAATTCAATTTCTTCACATGCACCAGACATACAAAGGAATCGAGAGGACGTTTCTCACTCTCCCACGGTGAAACAGATAAAGTGCACAGGCCCAACAGAACAATTGCAGCAGCCTGACTCTTAAACTGATCCATTGCTAACACACCTGTGTCAAAATGGTTGCTATGAAAAGAGTCTATTAATCTATTATTTCTTAATAATTAGTTCGTCTACAAGATAAAAAATTTTTCCAAGATTCCAAGAGCAAATTTTTAGAGCCCAAGGTGATCTCTTCAATCCAAAGATATTTAATTTATAACGATATTAAACTGACAACTTCACATTTGAGAGGGTGCAACCACAGACAGTTATACTGACTTAAACAATTGATCAATTATCAAAATTGTTGTTGATTAATTTTCTGTTTATGGAAGGACTAAAGGACTGATTGAATAATTGTTTCATCACTAAATGGACACATAAGATTGTGAGATGGTGTGTGCAGAAATCCTATACAGGAACAAGGCAGGCACATTCATCAGTGTGTTTCTGTTGACATCTGAAACAAACCAACATTAGTCCAGCTTCATTTTGCAACTTGCTCCATGCCTCCTCCTGCAAGAGTGACCCTGTGACTGCTTGTGTGCCGTCTTCAGGTATTATACAGATAAACTATACACACAATGTTCACTGGGTAAAATGATATGAATATCTGACAGCATTTGTAGTTTCCCCAAGGGAGCGATGGATAATTCCAATGGCTGGAGGAAAAATATCCTGATATGAGGCGAGCTGATGATTTGTTTCTACATGGCAAATTAGCAATTAGTCTACTGAAAGGCTAGATCCAAATCTTGTTATGGTTATACAGAACTGGCATGGAAACCACATTCATGAGTCCCCTTATCAAATCCAGGATTTCCACGGCTGATCAAACTTCAGATGAAGCCAAGTGATGACATCATCAGCTGGCATGTGTATTAAGACTATGTCACATCGGCCTTGGCCAGAGTGATTTTTACTCATCTCAGAAGACCCTCTCCATCACCATCACCATCCCCCCGATGTGGTGTGAATGCCTCCTCTGTGAGCCAGGCCAAGGATCTGCCAGCGGCCCCTCTCTTTGTGAGCTGAATGGGCACGGCTCAGCCACGTTTTAAGGCACCCTAATGTACCATGGCTGGACCACAAAGGCAGCGTGGTAATTTGCCAGGGATAATGACGCTCACTTAATTCGGCCCTAGGGGCCACAAACAGAGCCTTAAAGAGAATCCCCATCCAGGGATGAGTCCCCTGTCCCCCCCTTTTTTTCTAGGTCTCTCTCTCCCTCTCACTCCACCCCTTCTCTCTCTTATTGGCCTGAAAGGAGCTTGTTTTCTTCCGGCTTATTGTCATCCTGAACTAAATATCAGCAAACAACAGCGGGGCTGGAGGAGACAACATGCCAACCACGACTGGAGCCCCTGATGTCCTCCCAGAGGAGTGAAGAGGACCAAGACAAACACATAAGAGCTTTTCTCAAAGCAGCCAGAGAGGGAGCGCCGCTGCTCTGCTCCAATGACACATATTAGGGAAAGACATTTAGGCCACAAATTGAATTGAGCAGAGTAAGTGAGAAGGAGGCGAGTGCTAAGCATGAGGAGTACAACAACAGAACGTAAGCAAATGCCAGGGCCAGCCTTCAGGGATATTAAATACAGAGAGTGAGAAGACAGTGAGATTGGAGCAGAAGTGGTCTGTGCTTTTCCTGACAAATTGGCCTGTGCTCTTCTGCAAGGTTTTTGGTTTTGGCATTGAGGGTTTGTTTGATGAGTTACATTTTCAATCTCAGCTTGAGCAGGGTCTTGGTTTTTATACAGGCCCACGATCAGGTGATGAACCGTAAAAGATTTCTCTTATATTTGTGATAAAGTTGGTCTTCCTCCTGTTACCAGTAGATCTAATAACTGATGACAGATGGCAAACGATGCTCTGCAGCAGATAAAGCTAAAGATTATTAAAAGAGATGATGACATTTGGTCATCTTGTTTTGTGAAGTTTAGGGGTTTTGTAGGTTTCAAACCCTAAAGATCCACTTTAAAACATTCTTTGTAACCTGAATCTGCTGCAATTCATGTATGACAGTTTTTACTCTCAACAATTGTTTTTCATCAGATCAGCCTACGGGAGAGAAAATACATTTGAACAACAGATAACAGCATGGCTTCAGACAATATGTTTGCTCAGTATTCTCATATCCATGTTTATTCACATAATCTCTACTTATGCCTGAAGGAAGATAACAGAATGTGTATGATCTATGAATCTAACACAAAGTCTTAATCATGTCATTTCAGTACAAACAAAGCAGAGCTTGATTACTGTGAACAGCAGACTGAAGTTATAGACTGATGCAGTCTACAGCATTCAGATGATCCCATTAAACAAAAAAACAAAAAGAAAATCATGAGCTGCTTGATAGTGTGTTGTTGAAGTATTTTCGCATATAATTGATGGGCTGTTCTGGTGAATGGGTTTCAGATGCTGACCTTATAATTACAACTTCCCTGGTGAGGGTCCAGTTGTGGGACCTTGTTACATGTCATCTCCCTAAGAAGAGGCTAAAGTTCCTGAAATTATACTCAAAAATGATATTTGTTTTATTCTCAGGTGTTGTAATAATCAAATTAATAGCAGCAATGCAAATGCACAGACAGTGACTCCAGTCTGTTCTGGTGGGGGTCGTGTCACAAGATGATTGTGCACTCGTATCACATCATCTGAACAATGATTTTACCATCCAGTGTCAGTTAGGCTCAAGGCTGTCTGCACCGGAGTGATTCACTGATTCACATTCAGAGAGAGAGAGAGGGGGGGGGAGAGAAGTAAAATTCGTCCATTAGCAGCCTGTATAAAGCCCCTCAACCGTCCTCCCACCTCTCCTGCTTATCCTCCCCTCTTCCGCCTCCACTGCTATACTCTCGCCGCTGCTTTTCAAATCACTTCACTCAGTCAGAATAAAGGGCTTTCACCGAAAAAAGACTGCCTTACCTTTACTACAGAGGCCACAGAGATTTTTTAGGGGAGGGGAGTGGGGGGACATTCAGAGAAAGTGAGAATGAGAGAAAAAGAATAACAGCAATGCCTCATCGCAGAGATATCCACAAGACCAGAGAGAAGTTTGGTGTTTGCCAGCAAGATTGAGCACAAAAGAAAAAAGTGTTGTGGAACAAGTACAAAGCAGAAATCCAGGTGAAAGATGCAGAAACTAATCGAAGAAATCCATGAAAGTGGCATGAAAAGTTTTGAATGGGAAAGATGAAAGTGTACTCACCAGCTAAGCATCACTGGGGTGTGGGGAGGGGGCTTAGAGGGCCGTCTGTCCTTTTCAAACTGATTCTGGAGGAAGAGAGAGAGAGAGGAGGGGGAGGGGTGAGTCTTTCACGAGCTGCTCGCCTCCTTCTCATAAGCTGAGCGCAGAGCCACAAAGAAGTGCTGGTGCTCTCGTAAACAAACCGCCAACTTATCAATGGAGCGGAGAAGGCGGAGCAGGAATGGCATTTAAACTGAGACTTCATGGGGTTGGGGGCTGGAGCAAAAGAGGGACCTGCAAGATGCCTTTACATCAAGTGAGGGCCTAACCGGACAATAACAAACCACAAAGTTCAGTACAGTTCAAACACATTAAACGCCACATAACATAAGAAGCCTCGTATTGCATAGAAAACACAGCCCACATATGTTCAACTGTACATTAACAATACAGATGTAAATTAGGATGCCTAATTGTGTTGAAACACAGATGCTAATATGCAGAGAGCACTTTGGGCTCCAAGCTTTTTGATCTCAACGCCACAGAGCAAATTGGAACAAATAGCCCTGCTTGGTTTCTACGGCAACCTGAAAGAGCAGCTTAGACTTGCCATCCCTCTTGCGGCATAAACTGCTGTAATATGGCTGCTTCACTTCCACACAGAATGACAAAAATGAATAAAAGAGGGACTGATTATTGCTATCCGAGTACTCCAGTAAGACTGATCACTTCTGCTCAGATGACAGTATAATCAATTGTGCATACATGCACAATGCTCATTAGCATAAATGCAGAACTTTACAAACATGCTCAACTGATACCTTTGAGTATCTAGGGCTGCAACTTATCTCATTATTGATTAATAGTAATGCATTTTTTCAACAATTAGTCTATAAAATGCCAGAAAATGGTAAATAAAAAGTCCATCAGCAGTTCCCAAAATCCTAAGTGACATCTTCAGATTTCTTGTTTTGTCCAACCAAGATTACAAAACTGAATTAAAATCCATATAAAAATATATAAAACAGAAATCAGTCAATACTCACATTTGAGAAGCTGAGATGCTTGATTCATGATGATAATGAATTGATCAAAATTGTTATCAATTAATTAATATACACTTCAGAGTTCTTCTACCAGATTCTCCAGCTCAGCGCTGAGACTAAACAGTCACAAAGACAGGTAGACAAATGCAGTAAAGGGGATTTTCTATGGAGCTAAGCTGAGAATTTAGGGCTGAGCAGCAGGAAGTGTCCGCTCAGACAAAAAAACTCCCCATAATCTCCAATGTCAGTGTGGGATCAGGCTTTATTCACTGCAACAAGTGAGAAGGAAGAATTCTCATAAACTGCTTAGTCTAAGACCTATAGTCTTTCTTTCACACACACACACACACACACACACACACACACACACATCCTGAAGCGATGCCTGTACACCAGAGAGCCAGAGAAACAAAGTCTGTGACTGTTAAAATTCAGTAAAAATTAATTGACCAGACAACTGACAAGAGAGATGTGTGCTGATAAACATAACACCAGTACCAAGTTGATGATAACAAATAACCCCAGAACCAATGCCAAGGACGCGTTCCTGTGACTAGACCCTTGCACGTCCATCAGGGAGACTACCTCACTTGTAGTTTAACCACATTAACTGGTAATATCTGATGTTTAACAGTGATGAAAGCTTGGAAACATTGTGGAGCTCATTGTAGAGCAAAATAACAACCCCTAACAATGCAGGGACACAGACCTTATACATGAATCTATTGCCCCAGTGCATACTGACAATCTGTAATAACATAATCAGCACTCAGCAAATCATATGCTGATCATGATTTCAACTCTCATTTTACTCATGACTCTGACTTTATTTCAAAATAAGAGCACACTGTTAAAATAACTTTAACATCCAGGATAAACAAATCAAGCCAATCAGAATATTGTCGGCAGGATTAAGAAAGACGTCATCTTACAGTGCCAGAGCCAGAAAAAATAGTGACAGACAAATGGCAGAGATTGATGCAGCTGTGGAGGTTGTTGTCAGTTGATGTACAGAAATAAGAACTCTTAAACCAGCATATTTCTTCTTCTGTTTTCACTGAAAATGATATTGAGAATAGTGTGACATTCACTGCTTATGGGTTAGGGCAAAATAACAACCACTCACAAACTGGAAAAGCTAATGTAAACACAATGTCAGACCTAATTAAAAAGTGAAGAAACAATGGCAATGCAGCCTGATTATCAGGCCAACACAACCCTGCAAGTCTCACAACAAGACTAATGACATTGTACTGTAGCAGTGCTTTAAGCTAAATAATAACATGACAATGCAAACATGCTGATGTTTAGAAGCTACATTTACCATGTCCACTATTTTAATTAAGCGTGTTTGTAAGATAACATTTGCTTTATTAGCACAAAAGCAAAAATACAGTAAGTAGTTTTGCAGGTCGTAGTGGCTCTGTGACAGCAGCATGGGTAGTTGGATTTACAATGGTCTACAGTTTGGTACCTCATATAGATGGTGATATTAGCATTACTCTTTTTTTTTTACTGTCAATCCAAGACAACTGGTAGTTACATTCTTATTAATCATGTTTCTGTACAAGAAAGACTAAGCAGCTGATAACTGCACAGCTTCTTCCTGATTTCCTAGACACTGTTAAACATAAAGTAAAGAGAAAAGTAAAAACTTGTACACTTCTTAGGACAGCTTGCATTTAAATGTGTGCATACTGTAGGGAGACACCACTGCAGTAATGGCGACTTGTTTACTTCCGGGTACTTCCACTAATTGATGTATATACGTATATATAGACATATATAGCTGCAATTAAAATAGATACTGTCTGTCTCTTTACTTCTCTAATCTTGAATTAGTCCTTGAAAATTATCTGCCTGGCAGGCCTGTGTGTGTGCGTGTTTGTGTGTGTCCAGTTGGTGTGTGGTGAACCAGAGATGCTCTTTTACCAGCAGCCTTTCTGCTAACAGTATGAGACAATGCAGTCAGGAGGTTGGGATCACACTCCTGTGCTCCAATCTGGAACTTTCTTTTGGTTCTGTGGAAACTTTTGTAGCTCACCGCAGTGCATCTCCCTCATTTCTGTCCATAAGAAATGGTTATCAACAGTCGCCATCGGATCCAGCAGTGAAAATCAAATTCTCCTAATTAAGCTCCAGTTACTGGTAACTGAATCAGACAGTTTAATGAAGACTTAGCGGGAAGTAGGTGAAGAGGCGAGTTACGAGACAGCAGGAGTTCACAATTCAACAACTCATGGAGTTTATCTTTCTCTCACACACACACACTCACGCTCACACACACACACACACACACACACACACACACACACACACACACACACACACACACAGTAAACTTGTGCAGTTCAAGATTCCTTCTTCAGGGCAGTAATGGAAATGTGTCTAATTAGAAGCGAATTACTCCCTGCAGCTTTCCAGTTTACATCAGACTGTAGCAGGGTGCTGTTGCTAAACAAACTTTTTTTTTTCTGAAGCCACCCAAAGTCTCACACAACACATCCTAGATTTTACTGAACAAGGAGACACTACATGATATAAACTGAGCCAGCTGAACCCAACCTCCAAAAACCTCTCAATACTCTGATGTAGAGTCATAGAAACCTCTAACATTATGTAGTATCTTCTGAAATCAGGGTGATTGTCACTGAACTTACAGATTCCAGATTGCAGCCAATATTGGTATATCTCTGTGTGGCTAATGGCTGTAACTAATGTTTGAATATAACATTTGCTTTCAGAACATACACCGGTCAGCCATAACATTATGACCACCCGGGCACCCTCATGATAACCAGATAATCAGTGGTATTAACTCCACCTGTCAGAGCTCATAATGTTATGGCTGATCTGTGTATATATAACATAAAATAGTTCTTAGTCTTGGATACAACTTTTGGTTAAACAAACCAAAAGTTCATTATTAAAAGAACAACAATGAATGTTCCGCTTACCACCAGTCAATGGTCAATTCACTGATCAGTGAACTGACCAACTAGTAGTAATGTAAACTCTATTCTGAGGGAGATGTTTTGCAATATTACACATTACAATTCAAGACAACTGGTAGTTAAAGTCTAATTAGTCATGTTTCTCTACAAGTGCTGAGCAAGTTTTAAGCAAATTTTAGAAAACTCAAAATAATAACACAAAATAATGAGTAAATAATTTCATGTTTCTATCAACTGCTGTTATGCAAATATACTCAAGAACAAGATAATATTAATTGAACAGTAGTATCTCTCATACATAGAAGAACTTTATTGCTGCTTCATACTAAAGCATGCAACATGTGATGTTTTTGAGAGCCACAGTGCACCAGCCTTCCACTGATACAGTCCATTATATGATTGTGCACAAAGTGCAGCTGCATCACCAAGAATCAAGACACTAACTTGGAGCCTGACATCATTCTTAAATTACAGCAGAGACTGACAAGAAGTAAATCTAAAGTAAGTCACAAATGTTATTTTTATCTTACATCAGTAATGTCTGTCAACACATCTGGCTGAAGTTTCACTTTACAAGTAAACACAATGCTGACATTTATGTGGTCAAAAAATTAGAGACAGAATTAAATACACAAAGCATTTAAAACCTTTAAATATTTAGGTCTAGAATTTAGCAGCACAGCAAATTTCCACTGTGCAATTAGTAACAGAGAGGAAGAGCACACAGGGCTTCTCAGCTGTGCTGTTTCTCTTTCTACTCACACTGAGCAGAGTAAACAGTGAGTCTGCCAGACAAACCATGTAATGACACTGTTTCTAAATTACCACAGGCAGTACTGGTGCATTATGTGCTGTCACATTTGCAGACTGACCAACACAAACACCAATGTGTTGGTATGTCCTCGATAAGCCAACATGGCTGATAGCATTGCCCCTCCAATATATGGGTCACTGTACTTTCTGTGCCAAAAATGTTAGACCTCTGTAGATATTTCAATCAGAGTAGGGCAGAAAATGTTCGAATCAGTCAATTTGCAGACTAGCAATTACCATCCAGACACCATCCAATTTGAAAGCTTGTCTGCA